TTGAGTGTGAGGGACATTGATGTGACCTAGGTAAGGTGGGGAGGTATGGCTGGTCATAGAGTGGGTGTGGGGTGGTTGCTTGTGACTTTGGATAAGGCAAAGTCAACACTCCACCTTTAATAATTCACCTATTTGATTTTTATTGTTTAAATAATGATTTTCATCAAAATATGTTCAAATTATGAATATTTAGGGTTTATTATGTTAAAATATAATTTCTGGAGAAAATCCCGCTTTAAAATCACGAAAAACGGGCTTAAAATGTTAAAAATATCAAAAATGGGCTAAAAGTGACAAATATGCGAAATCTGGCCGAGGCTCGGCCTTCTTATGCTGAACCGAGAGAGAGGGAGGCAGCAACCGAGAGACGAAGAAGAGAAAAGGGAAGGAACCGAGAGAGGGAGGAGAGAACAGATGGCGCGAAGAGACAGAGCGAGAAGCGAGAGAAGGCGGGGGTTCAGTTCGGGAATAAGAGGCGAGAACGTGCGAACCGAACGGACTGTAGTGAACAGTAGTGAACAGTACCTTCGGTTCGCTTAGTGAACAGTAGTTTCGGTTCGGTTCCTCTTGAGCAGGGTTCGGTTTCGGTTAGTGGTGAACAGTACCTTCGGTCGGGTGAACAGTACCTTCGGTTCGGGTGAACAGTACCTTCGGTTCCTCCTTTTCTTGGGTTCGGTTCCTCCTGGCTCGGGTTCGGTCCTCTCAATTTCGGTCGGGTGAACAGTACCTTCGGTTCCTAAGGACCTTCGCCTCTCATAAGAGGGTTTTGGTTCCTAAGGTCCATTTTTCTCGTTTTTATCCCGTTTTAAGCCGTTTTTGACCCGGTTAAGGGTCGGAATGACCCGAATGATTCTAAAAAGTTACGGGAAGCTTTTGAGAGAGATTTGGGAGAGATTTCACATTCTTGGAGAGATTTCTAATACAAAGAGATATTTGCGAGAGTTTTCACATACTTAGAGGGATTTGGGAGAGATTTGACATAGAGAGAGATAGTGTGGAAACGATTGAGAGAGGTTTCATGTGGGATAGTTGTGAGTATCCGGTATCGAAATGTATGGTTCGTGAACCCTGTTAAGCCTTGTTTAAGGATCTTACACACTCCCGATGAGCATGCAACATTGTTTTATCGTTCTAGTTCACTGATTAGAACTAGGGTTTAGGAAATTTTTAACACAAGACTTTTCTCAAGTGATGTTTTCCCATTAATATAGCAAGTTACACTGTATGAACATAGCACAAACCCTAATACACAAGGTTTAATAGAGTTGACCGGCTTGACTTGATGACTTGGCTTGACTCAAGATTGACGATTGTCACACGGCTGATTCAGGAGTTCTTGACCCTCAAGCAGGGTAATGATTCAGTTACTGTGGTCACTCGAAAGTTTCATGAGAGGGCGATGTTCTGCCCTGAGCAGGTGTCTACTAAGTAGGCACGGATGAGCCGATATTTGGGTATTCTGAGGAGGGACATTCGGAAGTTCGTATTGAACTCGACGTACCGGACATTTACTGAGCTCCAGGCAAATTCCCGGAAGAGGGAGATTGAGTTGGAGACTCAGGCCAGGGAGGAGGCCGAGTCTCAGAGGATGGATCGGCGGCGGCTCAGTATTAAACACACACACACACATATATATATATATATATACACACACACACACTAGGTGTGAAACCCATGTATTACATGGGTTTAACTAAAAAAATATGAAATTTTAATAATTTGAAAAGTTTGAATTTATAAGAAAAATGAAAAAAAATTGAATTATTAAAATTATTGAAACTTTAATGAATTGAATACATTACATATATAAACTCTTTCTAATAAATACTTTACATATATATTACATTACACATTAAATGTGGAATTTTAATTTAATAAAATGAAAAATACAATTAAATGACAAGTGGAAAATAGAAAATTTAAAATTTTAGAAAATGCAAGGGTCCAAATGAAGGCGAAGAGGACATGTGGCATATATATAGTAGGTGTGAAACCCGTATATTATACGAGTTGATTTAAGAAATGATTAAACTTAAAGTACTAAAATGAAATATTTTTAAATGTACAACTTTAAAATAAAAAAGAAAGAAACGTATATATTACAATTTAATATCATATATATGATATTTAATACTTTACATACATAAGTATATGACTTTAATTAAAAATTAAAACAAAAAAAAAATTGACAAGTGGATAATATTTATTTCAAAATTACCACAAAATGATAAGTGTCAAAACTCATGAGAGATTGACAAATAACAATAAAACCTTCATTTATTAAGGTGGATATATATATATATATATATATATATATATATATATATATATATATATATATATATATATATATATATAGGTTCAGGTTAATTTGAGACTATTCTAATTTTGTGAGACCGTGAAATCAAATCTAAAAATAATTTTAAAATGCAAAATAAATGGAAAAATCCAAAAATTCTTTTTTTAAATATTATTTTCGGAACTTGACTTAACTAAAATATATATATATATATATATATATTTTAAATAAAAAAATAATAAAAAAAAATAATGTTTTTTTTTTGAAAAATACATGAAATATTCTAAATAGAATATTACACTGATATATTCTAAAAAATAATTTTAAAATGCAAAATAAATGGAAAAATCTAAATATTCTTTCTTTAAATATTATTTTCGGAACTTGAATTAACTAAAAAAAAAAAAAATACTTTTTTTTTTTGAAAAATACGATGAAATATTCTAAATAGAATATTACACTGTGTATTCTAAAAATAATTTTAAAATGCAAAATAAATGGAAAAATTAAAAAATTGTTTTTCCAAATATTATTTTCGGAACTTGAATTAACTAAAAAAAATTAAAAAAAATTTAAAAAAAATAAAAAATATGTCTCACGGTCTCACAAAATTAAGCCGTATCACATGAACCTAACCATATATATATATATATATATATATATATATATATATATATATATATATATATATATATATATATATATATATATATATATCAAATCTAAATTAACTAATTAATCCTAATTACCCATGTTTGAGTAATTAACCGATGAAAACATTAAATACAGGTTTGTTAAGCATGACGATCAATATGTTGCGAGTTTTTTTTCAAGGCACGAGATCTTTTGTTTTTTATTTTTATGACCAGATTTAAAATAATTGAGTTTTTGTTAACTTTTTTATATTAAATGATAATATAATACTTCTAAAAGCTTAATATATTTGATATAATTGTATAATTATATGATTTATCCTTTTTAATGTATATAAAATTATCACGTTTTAAAAAACGACATGACTTGCTATGTTTGATTTTGCCATCAAACCATGCCTCTGGCCATTTAAAAACTTGATTTATAGACAATTGAATTTCCCTTTTTTCTTAATAATAAGACCCTAACAATTTTTTCCTCTCTAATATTTTTGTTAGTTTACATTCATGCATAAGTATCTTTGCCAACTAAATATGCCTTTACGCACCATAACGTACGGCCTAACTAACGCACATACAATCACCACTCTTTACAAATAAATATGTGATGACCGATGCCAAGAACAAAATGAAACTTGAAAGCCACTACGATCTCCATTGTCATCTTGTAGGTGTCATTGTCAATGAACTGCCTATAAAATGACAACAATTCGATGTTTATCTACTTGATATGTTTATGTGCAGAAAGACTATTTTCTCCTCGCCCGACACTTGTCTTTTATCCACTTCCTTAATCCTTAAGATGCCCTCCTAGTATGTCATATTTATGTTGAAATATAGTTGAGAAAGAAGTAAGTTTTTTTCTAATTTGCCCCTTTAAGCAATTAATATTACATACATGTCCCTCGAGACTTGTGTTTAAATAGTATAGGTAGCTTTAGGGGTGGACCATACCTACATTGCCGCCATCAAATTTTGAGTTGGATGTTATTTATAGATATATAAATAAATATACTACCTTTTTAATTTATTTTTTCATAAAAATATATTTGGCTTAGTTATCATTTACTTCAATTTAAAGTTGGTGCAAAAAAAGTTAAAATTCAAAGCAAGGTTTGCAAAATCAAAACTCTACGTAAAATCGTTTTCGGGTTTGCAAAACCGTGATTGTCGTAAAATCGAATCGGAGTCGTAAGATTCTACAAAAAACAATGTAATTTCAAGTTTAAAACATGCAAAATATATCTTCATCCATAAAAAACAATCATATGTACTCATAAAAGACTGATTAGATTTTAAAAGGCTAATACAAATTCTAGAACATGATAAACATTATGATACAAATACAATTCGGTTCCAAAGGATCCTCGTTGATTGATTTACAATCACATCAATAAAAAACATGTTTTAAGGCTTAAGCCCTAAATATGTTTCAGCTTTTAGGCCCAAAAACAACTAAATTGATATGCATATATGAAATCTGAATATAAATTTTCTTGCTTTCCAATTTTCCATCATCTTCATTCTCCATAATAATATATTCAGTCCAAAACACTAAAACATTGGAGTAATTTCCTTTTTGAAGTTGTAAACAAAGTAGAATATAAACTAGAGAGTAGAGATCAGAATTGAAGTTTACAGCCTTACACTTCGTCGAGTTTGATGAAGGCTTCAAGGCTTCAAGGCAATGTTCATGAGTATAGAGTTCAGAGGAGGAGAGGAAAAATAGGGTAGGGTTCGCTTCGCCATCACGAAAACCAAAAGGAGTTGTGTTTTTTTTCATCAAATGATATTAGTCTTTTAATTTAGGGTCAAGTAGTCAAATAAAATCAAACAAATGGTTAACTCTAATAGAATCGAATTGTTTACGATTTTACGACTTTATGATCCGATTCTACAATTCCACTCCGATTCTTCCTAAAAACAAGTTTACTAAGATCAGAATCGAAATACATATATATAATCGTAGAATTGTACGATTGTACGATTGTTGCTCGTTTACCCGCTACGTCTATGTAAATATTTATTGGCTGAAATTATAATGATAATTTAGAAAAAAAAATTATGTTTTTAATAACCTTGATTCAAAGTAGATAATTTTTTTTTTGATTTTAATAAAATGATTATCGAAATATCAGATTTAATGTTGCAAAAATCACTATTTAAACATTAATTTAACAATCAACACCTTTTGCAAAACTACATAGAAGTTTTCTTAAAGATACACGCCAAAAGTAAACATACTATAAACTATAGGGACTATAAATGTAACTTTTGATTCCAACATCAACCTCCACTTCTCGCCAAATAATTCCACGAAGATTCTTTCTCCGCCTGTAATTTTCAAAAGCCCCATCATTCACTTTCTCTCTCCATCGCTGGCATAATTTCTTAGGGTTCTACAAGGGTTTCTCTCTAAATTCTTCATCAATTCAATCACTATGTGAATTGAAATTATCTTCTGATTCCGAGTATATAGATACCATTTGTATATCTACACGATTGTAATTATATGGCTACTTATCAGCCGATTAGAGGAAGCGGATCAAGTTTACAGTTCTTGAATCATCCGTTTGGGGACACCACTTATACAAAGGTGTTCGTTGGAGGGCTTGCATGGGAGACACAGAGCGAGACGCTACATCGTTATTTTGAACAATTTGGGGAAATTTTGGAGGCTGTTGTTATAACCGATAAGCATAGCGGAAGATCAAAAGGCTATGGATTTGTGAGTATTTATATGTATTCTATTTGAGTTTTTCACCCTGGTATCCAATAACGATGATTTTAGATGCCCGTTTCTTTGTTTACTGCATTTCACCTTTATGTTCACTGCAATATTAAGCATAAATTCAGAAATTAAAGATACCTTGAAACTTTTATCACTGAAAAAGACATGTTCAGGATCCAAAATTGACTTAGAGTTAACCATAATTCTCAGAAAGAGATGGTAACATGTTGAATTTTACTCAAACTACTATAATAACCTCATAAATCTCAAGAATACACGAAAAATCACGCTAATTTTAGCTTACAGAATCCCGATTCGTCCAGAAAAGTCATAATTCATCTCTAATTGGGGCAAAAAGGTTGAATCATATTTGTATCTTTTTCTTTTAGGTATTCAAAATCATCACAACTTCTATTTCACTTTTAATATCACCTAAAGCACAATCTTATCACATCCCCAAATTCAACATTTCTCCTCTTCTCATTAAACTCAGGTAACATTTCGTGACGCTGAAGCTGCAACTAGGGCTTGTATCGATCCCAGTCCAATCATCGATGGTAGAAGGGCAAACTGTAATTTAGCATCACTTGGTCGCCCTCAACCACCTTTACCTTTTGGTAAATCTTTTCAACCTTTTTTTATCCAATTCATTTTAACTTTCACATACACATATTGAAGCTGTTTTTCACTTGTAGGGCGTATGAGACCAATAACACCCTTCTTTAACAGTCTCCAAGGAGGCCCATTTATCGGAGCCCCAAATTATCGCCAACCTGTTCCTTACAGTTATCAACAGTTCCCATATTCCTTATACGGGTTAGTTACTATTCATTCTTTATTCTTCAAATCAAATTCATTATTTATTGGAAATTGGAAAATTTGTTTTTGTTAGGTATCCTCCATCACCTTTTGGTCCTGAATACCTCTTCCATCAGGTGAATTAACTCAAGTTTTAAATCTTTACAAGTCATGTGTAATATGTTTATATATATATATATATATATTTATATATATTTTCAGGTTCAGTATAATCCTTACACAGGCCAAATGCAGCCTAATCCTCAAATGTTTGGACCAAGCCCAAGCCCAAGCCCAAGCCCAGTTTTTCCATTTGGTCAAATGGGCCCACTGCCACCTGGAAGCCCAGGGATTATGACACCTGGCACACATGTTGTATCATATTCTAGACCAAGTGTCAGTGGAACAACCACAGAAACTGTTCCGATGTCTCCAGCACCTTATGTTACAGGTATTTTTTATTTTTTTTAGCTAGCTAATTAATGTAAATTAGTTTGATAGATTTTGATAATATATTTTTTTTAAAAACTTTTTGTTGTCAGGTATTGGGCCACCATTTTTGGGACAGATGAGGAGTGCACAAGCCCATCCTTCTCAGTTCACTCAGAAGTAAAAATTGGTTTAAAACTGGAGAACAGAGGATCAGTTTCTGAGGTGCATATATCTTATCATGTGCCATCGTTCTCCATCCTCTACTCTACTCACTAACTGCTGGATGACGTCACTTGCTACTTGAGTGATGTCACCGGTTGTTTCTGTCAAAAGGTAATAAATACTTTTTATATTTTTATAATTAGTAATATTTAATATGAAAACTGTGTAAATACTAACCAACTGTGTATACCTGTGTTTGATGGTGTTTTCAGGTCATCAGAAGTCATGGACATGAAGAGTAAAAATGGGGTTGACTTTGAAAAAGTCAATCTCTGATTCCAGACAATCGGAAAAACAAACAAACCATGGTCTGTATAAATGGTAATAGCCGGGATTGTTGGAATACGGGATTCCAGCAGTCTTGATGCATGAGGGAATCAAAGTATGATTTTCCTTGATGGTATATATATATATATATATATATATATATATATATATATATATATATATATATATATATATATATATAATGCTCAACAACTAAAAAGTAAAAAAACATGGTGGATTTTTACTTTTAACGTCCCATGAATTATGGGAAAGCTTACCTGTGGATATTATGTTTTATGGCTTTCTGGAAATTATGCTCCAGAATGCACTTTCGATTTTATTAGCAAACTTGTTCCGAGGGCGTCGTGGATAAAGGGTAAATGACGATTTTGCCCTTGATGGCATCCGAAGGGATGAGTTTGGTAATCTTGGAAATGGATATAATTAAAGACTATTTAAAAGTCAACGTGTCGGGATCGTATGATGGTTTAATTTATTATTAAATGAACTTGGAAATTAATTTTTGTTAACGTAAAAAGGTTTTGGTAATTGATTGAAGTTAAGTTTTGATTGGATAAAAAAACTAGTTGTGAGACAGGTCTACTATATGAGTTTATTGAAAAAAGTAAAAATAAATGTGAATGTCTAAACATTTTGAATTTATAAGAAAAATGATAAAATATTAAATTGTTGAAATTGAAGTGCTTATTTCTTTTTTAGACTTGGACAGGTAAGTTAAATAAATAAACAAAAGAAATAATTGGACTTCAATTTAGGAATTTTGTAGGTTGTATTAATAAAATTGATATTAATCTATTATTATGTCTATTACCATTGTTATATTTAAATACTAGGTGTGAGGTTTATGTATTATATGAGTTTATTCTAAAAAAAAATTAAATATGGAATTTTAAACATTTGAAAAGTTTGGATTTTCTCATTAAAAAAAATTAAATATGGAATTCTAAACATTTGAAAAGTTTGGATTTATAAAAAAATAAGAAAAATATTGAATTAATAAAGTTAAAGTATTTTTTCTCTTTTAAATTTAAATAAATAATTTATATAAGCAGAGGAAACTAATAAGGTTTTAATTTAGTAATTTTGAAATTAAAAATAAAACTTTTTTAATGAAAATGATATGTATTTATTATTATATTTAAATATTTATGTAAAATTAGAAATAAAACTTTTTTAATAAAATGGAAAAACAATAAAATGATACGTGAAATAAAAATTAATTTAAAATAACTATAAAATTATATGTGAAAAAATGAATAAGAATATGATGTGACAAAAAAGATATTTATTTATTAAAATAGACCATATAAAATTTAACAAAATGAATAAAAAACATAAAATATCACATGAAAATATTTAATTTAAAATAATCATAAAATGATATGTAACAAAATGAAGAAGAAAATAATACGTAACAAATTATTTATCTATTTATTTATGTATCGAATCAAAAACATAGATTCATTGTATATATATTATTAATGAGCTGATAACTAACGTTCATTCGTTGTTTCTTAATAATGAAAAACATTCGATGTATAAACAAAATATAAAATCTTTTGAGACCACATCTTACAATGACTCGTTATCTAAATGATATCATGAAATCAAGTCAATGACGGATCGGAAGTTAGAGATGAGAATTATTATCCAAGAATAAAATTATGTTTCATTATATTGTTTTCGTTATGTTTATGTAAATTTATATAATTATTATTTATGATAGTAATGAGATCCTATATACATATAGTTATCGCCTTAAAAATGTATTAATTTAAAGAGGTTCATATGTATTTTGAACATGTTGATCTAGAAAGTTAGCTTTTAAATTCGTATGGGTACTAAAGAACTGTTACCAATTCGGAAGAAAAGCGACAAAAGGAAATGAATAGAAACGAAAGCAAGATTGAGGTAAACAGAATGTGATCAAATGCAAAATTTAGTTGTTTGTTTGTTTTTTTTTTTGGAAGTTGAAACCTAATAAGTTGGACAATCCTAGGAAACAACTTTAAAGTACGCGTAGGAGCTAACATGACATGCCAACCTATGCGTGAATACCGTCCTAAATACGCATAGATGGCTTGTAGCGTAGTCCCATCCACAGACGAAGACAACGAATCACGCGAGGAGAGAGAAAACACGGTCGTTTATTCAACTGCTTAAACTATTTTTAAATTTTTTTTATTAAACTTTTAAATTTAAATAACAATCTTACAACTTACATCTTTTACCTATATATACTACACATTTTACCTTCATTTTACACTTCTAAAACAAAAATTTTATTCTACTTTCTTTATCTTTTCTTCAAAAATGGATCTAAATCAAAATACTCTAAATGATTATCAACTATACGTATAATTGTTGAACTCTCCAATCCAACAACAACCTTTATTCACTAACATTCCATACAACCCACAATTCTTCCAACAACAATGACCACAACAACAATTCTTTCAACCCTAATTCTAAAGTTTTCAACAACAACATTCTCAACAATTTCAACCACAACAATTCCAAACATAGTTATCTCAAGTCCCATTATTTCAATCCCAAACTATAAACCTCGACAACGACGACGAACGGGTCCAAGAAACACCACAACCATCTCGGAGAAGGCAACCAAAAACAAAAGAAAAAAACAATGGCTAGGAACGAAGAAGATGAGGAGACTTTAGCGAAAGCTTGGATTTTCATATTGTGCGATTCGAGAAGAGGCAACGCATAATCTGGGGAAAGTTATTGGAATCGTCTATTGGATCACTTTCACATGCTACTAGGAAGGTAAATGGATCGGTCGTACGACGTGGTCAACTGAAAATGATGTGATCTACGAGCGGCTTGCACAAAGTTTAATGACATATTTGAAAATCTAAAAAATATGCAGAAAAGTGGTTGCAACAACTTCAACATTTTATCAACCTCGTGCTACTAATTCATAGTTACTAAGAATGGTAAACCATTCGGTCACCAAAAAGCGTGGGAAGTTTGCCGTAACGATCCAAAATGGGTCCTTAATTCGGAGACATCACATTCGGACTCGACCATCGGCTCCAACAAAAAACCAAGAACTTCCGATTCGGACGCGGGTTTTGAGCTAGACCTCAATGATGACTTCAATGTTGTCAATGCAGAGGGTCAACTGGAAGTCCAACTTCGTCAACCACCGGGAAGGGACAAAGCAAAACGGGCGGCATCTTTAAGTGGAAAAGCAACCGCAACTAGCGACGACGGGCTTGTGGAGTACATAGATAAAACTCTAAGTTTTCCAGAAAAAAATACAATTGAACGGAGGAAGCTCGTCGCCAAAAAATCGCTCTTACCAATCTTCAAATCATAAACACAAAACCCATACCAGATCTCGACCCGGAAAATCTCACGATATTTCTAAAAATCCAACAACAAGCCCGTGATAGATATGGAAAGTATGTTCTAATATTTATGTTTTAGTTGATATGTTTTATGTTTTTTTAGGTAATTTAGGATAAATAAGTAATTTAGGATTTTTTTAATGTTTTTAAAAGTATTTTAGAATTTAAACGTGTGTGTTTTAAAATTAATGTACTGTGTGTTTTTATTTGAATTATTTTTTAAATTTAATCTAATAATGTAAAAAAAATGTGGAATGATAATTATTTCCAAGGGATAGTGATTTGATAGTAGAGTTGATATAACGCAGATGTGGCATCATTTTTTGAGTGGGTTGGGTGTGACTATACCGCTTAACCTAAACCAAAGATACTTGCCACATGAGCGATTTTTGTAAGGTAGTTTTGAATATTTCTTAATGGGAGATATATGCTTGGAGTATTTTGTTTTTGTTATGGTTGAGATTGTTTTAGAAAATAAAATAAAATAAATAAATGAAAATATTTGCAGTAAGGAAAAAAAAAACTTATACTTCATAAATTAAAACCAGTTTTTAATTGAACCGATATGATGATTGGTTTCTGATTCGACCGAATTCTACAATTTTCCATCATTTTTCCTATTTTCCTACACGTACACAAATTTACACATTAAAAATACACATAAATAAAAGTTGTAGTTCAATTTAAATAAATTAAAAAAAATACACAACCATAAGTTTTACATCAAGTTGAGACTCGGATCTATGATCTGGAGCCCCTGCATGGACTTTGGAACTTTACGTGGGGGAATGGACTTTGGAAGTATGGATCTATGATCTGGAGCCCCTGCATGGCTCGAAAAGCCACTGAATGGATTAAGAACTGAAGCGATTCGGCGAGTTGGATGAAGATGGGCAGGGACTCGGCGAGTTGGAAGAACAACTCGGCGAGTTTGTTGAAGAATGCCTTGGACTCGGTGAGTCTGTTCTTGGACTTGGCGAGTCAACAGACTCACCGAGTCAAGTCGCGAAACCCCAAACCCTTCAAGTTGAGACTTGATGAGATTAAACTTTCTTTTAATCTATGAAGATCGATTAGATCTTGAATAAGTATGTAAATAATGACGATATGAACACAATAAAAGAACAGAACAAGATTGAATCAAACGTGTCGAATGATTAAAACAAAATCCTCAGAAGAGCTCGATTAAGAACATCAACTGTAGAGGATTGGAAGGTTACAAGAACGATCAAAGAAACCTTTTGTCGTCTGGAAAAATCGTATACTCAGATCTCTAAAACCTTAACCTAATATGCATGCAAGCATTAGCTTATATACAAAGCATAAAGGACTCACGGTTGGACAGGCCCAAACCGGAATATAAATAAAAGCATAAACAGATGAGCCCAAAAGACGCAATCTTCAAAGCCCAACAATCTCCCCCTTTGCGTCAATTTGGGGCGAGACCTTCACTCTCTTTTCAAAGCAGCTGACTTCTTAACCGTTTCAAAAATTTTCGGTATCAAAGCCAGAATATGATGCCTGAAGGTAATATACCAACGAAGCATATCTGTAAAGTTCTTTTTATCTGCTGTTGAGTTCTGTTTGCATCGGTGAATGATATTGATGATGTGCTCCAGACACTCTGTAGAGAACAGATGCTTGTCTACCAAAGCAAACAGAAACTTGTGCTTGTCGCCCCTGGTGAACATAACCGTCAGATTGGAAGAATCGATCTGCCCCAACTTCATTTTGTGAACATCTCCAGTCTTGGAAGTGGGCTTGACAGTTGGTTTCTTGTTCATCACTTTTGCTATTTCCTGATCCATAGTGGCGAGCTCATGGACGTAGGAAGCCAACATTCTTTTAAGATGAGAAAGAATTGGTTCATATTCTCTCTGGTTGGAGAGAAGAATGTTGTATAGCAAGATCCAATCGTGTGGGTTCAGACTGGGAAGATCTGCCAGAGAAATAAGATGTTCGGTGTTGGCCGTTCCTCTGTTGATTTTGAAATTGACGTTCACAAATCTCCCAGCCTGGGTTGGTTTCAGTACCTTGACTTTAATAATTTTCTGGGCACTCCAAGTCAAGTACTGTGGTTGACCGAATTTCAGATAGAAATCGATGAGCTCTCTGTCAACCTTCGGGTTTGGATGAGGGACATTAGCAGTGACATCAAAGCAGTGAAATGTGAAGGCTTTACGCGTAATGGGCATGTCGAACTGCGAGTCTCTAGAATTTTCACACTCAAAAGATGCAATCGGTTCCAACCAGTAAATAGAAGGAAACTCAATCGCTTGAGTGATGAGTGTGTCTCTGTCCCAATCTGGGAACAGAGTCTTTTTAGCTTGAATAGCCTCCTCATCCTCCCGGATTTTCCTTTCTCTGGCCTCTGCCTCACGAGCTATTTTCAAGGTTTCATCAAGCTCTCTGTCCCTTTTCTTGCGTTGAAGAGCTTCAGTAATGGTTTCATCTGATTCTGATTCGCTCTCAACAAGGACTTGTTTACCAGAACCCGAAGCTACATTACCCTTC